GTTGTTTTTTCTCCTAATGTGGCTATGCAACAATTTAGGCTGAGTCTTTGCCTTGCTTGCGATGTCATTTTCGTATTGTCTTTTCTGCCTCTCTTCTCATCCTGACATATTCATTCCTTATCCATTATCCATTCCTTATCCTTATCCATTCCATCCCTGTGTGTGTGTGTGTGTGTGTGTGTGTGTGTGTGTGTGTGTGTGTGTGTGTGTGTGTGTGTGTGTGTGTGTGTGTGTGTGTGTGTGTGTGTGTGTGTGTGTGTGTGTGTGTGTGTGTGTGTGTGTGTGTGTGTGTGTGTGTATGTGTGTGTGTGTGTGTGTATTCACCTAGCTGTGCTTGCGGGGATTGAGCTCTGCTCTTTCGGCCCGTTTCTCAACTGTCAATCAACTAACTGTTACTAACTACAGTTCCCCCCCCCCCCACACACACAAAAAAAACACCTACTGCTCCAGTGACCTACTATACACTATGGAGAGTGGCAAGCAAAGTGCTTCTGCACACTCTTTCTCACCATGGGTATTGAATGAGTGTGCAGAAGCACTTTGCTTGCCACTCACCATCGTGTATAGTAGGTCACTGGACACGGGAGACCTACCAGAAATATGGAAGACGGCTTATGTGGTCCCAATATACAAAAAGGGTGACAGACAAGATGCACTGAACTACAGGCCAGTGTCCTTGACTTGTATACCATGCAAGGTGATGGAGAAGATCGTGAGAAAAACCTAGTAACACATCTGGAGAGAAGAGACTTCGTGACAACCCATCAACATGGGTTCAGGGAGGGTAAATCTTGCCCTACAGGCTTAATAGGATTCTACGATTAGGTGACAAAGATTAAGCAAGAAAGAGAAGGATGCAAAGTGCCTCTGCACACTCTTTCAGTATCCATGGTGAGATCCCATCTGGACCAACAGCCTTTCTAACATCCAGATCCAGCAGGTGTCTCTTGACCTCCTCTCTCGTAATTTCGAACTCTTCCAAGGCCACCTGGTTTACCTCCCTTTCTCCTAGCACAGTGACCTCACCTTGTTCTATTGTGAAGACCTCCTGGAACCTCTTGTTGAGTTCTTCACACACCTCTCTGTCATTCTCAGTATACCCGTCCTCGCCTGTTCGAAGTTTCAATACCAGTTCTTTCACTGTTGTTTTCCTTCTGATGTGACTGTGGAGTAGCTTTGGTTCGGTCTTGGCTTTGTTTGCTATAACATTTTCAAAACTTTTCTCTGCTTCTTTTCTCACCCTGATGTACTCATTCCTGGTTCTCTGGTATCTCTCTCTGCTTTCTGGTGTTCTGTTATTCCGGAAGTTCCTCCACGCCCTTTTGTTCAGTTTCTTCGCTTCCATACATGCCCTATTATACCATGGATTCTTCTGTTGCTTCTCGGATTTTTCCCTTTGGGCCGGGATGAACCTGTTTACTGCCTCCTGACACTTTTGGGTAACATAGTCCATCATTCCCTGTACAAACTTATCTCTAAGGTCTGTGTCCCAAGGTATTTCACTTAGGAAACTTCACATCTGTTCATAATTCCCCTTTCGGTATGCCAGCCTTTTGATTCCTAGTTCTTTTTTGGGGGAGATAAGTCCTAGCTCTACCAGGTACTCAAAGTTCAATACACTGTGGTCACTCATTCCCAAGGGCGCTTCCATCTTACCTTCCCTTATATCCCACTCATTTAGGGTAAATATCAAATCAAGCATTGCTGGTTCATCTTCTCCTCTCATTCTTGTTGGTTCTTTGATGTGCTGGCTTAGGAGGTTTCTTGTTGCCACGTCCAGCAGCTTAGCTCTCCATGTTTCTGGTCCTCCATGCGGCTCTCTGTTCTTCCAATCTATCTTCCCGTGGTTGAAGTCTCTCATAATTAGTAGTCCAGATCCATTCCTGCTAGCAACAGAAGCTGCTCTTTCTATTATGTTAATGGTGACCATGTTGTTTCTATCATATTCCTGTCTAGGTCTTCTGTCATTTGGTGGTGGATTATATATGACTACGACTATAATTTTTTCCCTCCATTTGTTACGGTACCTGCTCTGTAGTCACTGAAACCTTCACAGCCCTGAATATCCATCTCCTCAAAATCCCAGCCTTTTCTTACCAGCAGAGCTACACCACCCCCACCTCTTCCTTCCCTCTCTTTATTCATAACATAATACGCCTGTGGGAAAACTGCGTTTGTTATCGTTTTCGAGAGCTTTGTTTCTGTGAGGGCTATTATGTCTGGGTTTTCCTCTAGTACCCGTTCTCCAAGCTCATTTGCTTTATTTGTAATTCCATCTATGTTAGTGTACATCGCTTTGAGGCTCACTTTCTTCTGTCCCTTCTCAAATCGCCTCCTTGGTGAGTGTTCTTCTGATGGGGGAGGCTGTTCCATGGGTGTGAGGACCTGTGAGGTGGATAACAGGGTCTCAGAGGATACTGGGATGAGGGGCGGGGGATCTAGTGAAGGGGGAGGGACAGGGAGGGTATGGAGTGAAAGGGGAGGGAGGAAAAACATTATCGCCAACAGCATTTGGTATTCCCAGGCGGTCACCCATCCAAGTACTAACCAAACCCAACGTTGCTTAACTTCGCTGATCGGACGAGAAGCGGTGTTCTCAACGTGGTATGGCCGTTGGCGTGTGTGTGTGTTCTCACCTATTTGTACTTGCAGGATCGAGCATTGACCCAAGGATCACGCCTTTCGTGTGTGTGTGTGTGTGTGTGTGTGTGTGTGTGTGTGTGTGTGTGTGTGTGTGTGTGTGTGTGTGTGTGTGTGTGTGTGTGTGTGTGTGTGTGTGTGTGTGTGTGTGTGTGTGTGTGTGTGTGTGTGTGTACTCACCTAATTGTACTCACCTAATTGTGTGTGTGTGTGTGTTTGTATTCACCTAGTTTTACTTGCGGTGGTTGAGCTTTGCTCTTTCGGCCCGCCTCTCAACTGTTAATAACTACTAACTATTTTTTTTCCACACACACACACACACACACACACCCAAGAAGCAGATCCGTAACAGCTGTGTAACTCCCAGGTACCTATTTACTATTAGATAACAGGGGCACTCAGGGTGAAAGAAACTTTGCCCATTTGTTTCTGCCTGGTCAGGGAATCGAACTCGGACCACAGAACTACGAGTCCTGCACGCTGTTCACTCAGCTACCAGACCCTGTGTGTACTCACCTAGTTGTACTCACCTAGTTGTGCTTGCGGGGGTTGAGCTCTGGCTCTTTGGTCCCGCCTCTCAACCGTCAATCAACAGGTGTACAGGTTCCTGAGCCTATTGGGCTCTATCATATCTACACTTGAAACTGTGTATGGAGTCAGCCTCCACTGTGTGTGTGTGTGTGTGTGTGTGTGTGTGTGTGTGTGTGTGTGTGTGTGTGTGTGTGTGTGTGTGTGTGTGTGTGTGTGTGTGTGTGTGTGTGTGTGTGTGTGTGTGTGTGTGTGTGTGTGTGTGTGTGTGCAATTAAATTAAATTTTACGCTTAATGCAGAAAATTAAAATTTTCTTGATATCTTGAAAAATTCTTGCACTTCATATAAAAAATTGTCTCAGAGAAAACTTCAGAGTATGTCAGTAAATGTTTGACTAAGATACTTCCTCGCTACGGTACAACTGTTTGATCAGATGAGTAAGATGCTTTCTCCCCACTACTAATCAGCTGTTTGATTAGATGAGTATAGTTAGAATGAAAAAACAAAGCAGAAAGAAAATATAATATCCTTGTAACGTGACAAGGTATGATATGATAGGATATGAAATGTGACAAGATATGATTAGAATATCATATGTAATTCTTGCATGATTATTTACTTTCTCAGAATAGACATATGGGTCAAGTTTTCTTTTGAGACGAGTGCTTGAGCAAGCACACCTTGCCCCACCCGGCGTGGCCTCACCTTTTCCCCATCACTCAACCATTCTCTTGGCCTTGATCCTCACAGACCCTTTCAGTTCAAGGTCATACTTCACCATCACCTTCTGTTAGGTGTTATCCACATATTTGTATCATTTCTTTTAATTGTCTACAAATTAAGCTGTCCTGTTATTTATGTAATTTATGATCACGATGAACGTAACAATTGGAGTTTCACTCACAAAAACACCCCATTGTCCACGGTCAATGTTTGTCTTGGTTTCTTTACGCCTCAGTGATGTTGTGAATCTTCATTTAGCTTTCTCGTTGTGTAGTAAATGATATTTTGCGTTAATTTCCATTTGAGTTTTCATTCCCATGTTATTCTCTCCATGAATTATCCAATTATTTTGTCTTCACCTAAACAGTATGCTAACTTTACTCTCCCTTTCAGTCTCTCTAATATCATTAATTTCCATTATATAGATATATTGAAAGACTAAAATGCAATGGTTGCTGGCCATTATTTCGTCGCCAATGCACTCAATGTCCGTCTCATTATGAATGCAGATCAAGTATGAGAAGGCATGACACAGGAGATAATGATAAAGTGTTAAACATATTAACACAAAACAGAACAGGAAACAATGGATACAAATTGGATAAGTTTAAATTCAGAAAAAATGTGTAAATATTGGATTGTAAATAGGAATCATGATTTGTGGAACAAATTATTATGTATCATAATGGGATCGCTGGATTGATTCATACGAAGGACAGACACATTGAATATGTTTAGTTGGGTGAGAACAGGAGCGGTCTTGCGCGGACCAACAGGCAGTCTGCAATGTCCTGTATTCTTCATGTTGTGTAAGTGGCGCCGCCTCTCTCTCAAGCTCTAGCCATAGTTATAACTCACCGCCTCAGCCTAACTAGCAATAGTTATACCTCACCGCATATTTTGCCACTGGTCACACCACTGGCACTCTAGCTACTCTCTAGTACGCCTCTCCTTAATCAGTAATACAGAAGTGATTTATACAGTGTGAGAGTTTTCTTAGCGGTAATATGCATTATAATATATTAAATGGTACTGATTCAAGCATAACTCATTATTTTTTGTTGGAGAATATAGGGACATAGACCTAGTTAAACATATACAACAGAATGAAAATTGCGACTTTATTTTGTAACTCATATTTCACACAAACACAAATAAATAAATATACATTCATCCTAATACGCTAACATTAGTTTAATGTTTGACTTGAGGCCTATTAACCGCGAACGGCTTATCAAAGCCACCACAAGAGCTGACTCATTAACCAACATGTATCCTTTAGTCTTGAGCATACTTCAAGATTAAAGAAAACTCTTAATACATATTCACACTAAGCAGCAAGGAATATCTCGAGATAATCTATACAAGCGAAACCGAATGATACAGAGTTTTACTGCTGATATTCAGGCTGGTGATTAATTAGGAGGACCGTAGCTGGCAGAGGGACCCGATTTGCCGCGAGCGGCGGCAGCATCCTCCTGAGCGGCGAAGGCGATCTGGTCCAGCACGAACTGGGGGATTGGGTGGGGGAACTCAGGAGCCACTGGCAGCAGGTTAGACTCTGGCTGGAAGCCGTTCTCGTCGGCGACGAACTTCACAACGACGGGAGTGCCGTCAGGAGCAGTGTAGCTGTGGAAGACGTGTTACATGAAAGTACAGTATAAATTTAGTTATGTTGAAAATTAAAACTAATACAGATATTCCTTCAAACATAAAGACACCCAAACGGCAGGCAATACTCACGAGTATTGTCCAGCCTTGATGATTGCGCCCTCGGAACCCGGAGAACCAGACTGGGACAGGATAATGCCGTTACCAGTCTCCACGTCGAAATTATATCTCCCATCGTCCTCCTGGATACGATCGTCCTTCAGAATAGGGACCTCTTCGCTTGAGCCCGCGTAGCGTGCCTGGGGGGCGGCGTACCCCTGGGGGGCGGCGGTGGCCACAGTGGCCAGCACGGCGAGAATAACCTACGTGGAATTAATAGATAGTTTTCAACAAAGATTTACAAACAATGTTTAAAATCAAAAAGCACCATTAATTAACAACCAAAGCCATAGCCGTTTTTAATTTTTTGAAAATAGTTTCAAAGAACTATTACTACATAAACTTTAACTTTACTACATAAAGAATGTAAAAACGCGAACTTGAAGACAAGAATTAGTCACCTTGAGACAGTCACTGGTTTGACAACCTTTATGCACTTAAAAGTTACATTCCTCTTCAGTTGATAAATAAATTTGACAGGCGAAATTTTCCATTGCTGTTTTATACGAAAAATTGTCAATTTAACCAAATTTATTCATAGATTCAGAACCACTTTTGGAATCTGATCACAGACTTGAAAAAATTTAGCTTTAGGATAAGGATTGATGTGAATGGATTGGATCATTATATTACTAAATTATATTTTGTCTTGGCTTGATATTTCAGTTCGGAATGAAAATTTCAATTAACAAGATGAAAGGAACATTACGGGAGTATTTATGTTTATATTTCTATCTTATGAGATAGAAGGGAATTTCAGAGAGATATTATAAACATGATAGTTTAATATGTATCCTTGTAAACAAAACAATGCAAGCGCCAGAAAACAAATAAATAGTCACAAAGTGGCAGCAAACAGTTAAGACACATGGAGGCAGAAAACAGTTAAGACACATAGACACAGCAAACAGTTAACACACATGGAGGCAGCAAACAGTTAAGATATATAGAGGCAGCAAACAGTTAAGATACATGGAGGCAGAAAACAGTTAAGACACATAGACACAGCAAACAGTTAACACACATGGAGGCAGCAAACAGTTAAGACACATAGACACAGCAAACAGTTAAGATACATGGAGGCAGCAAACAGTTAAGACACATGGACACAGCAAACAGTTAAGACACATGGAGGCAGCAAACAGTTAAGATACATGGAGGCAGCAAACAGTTAAGACACATGGACACAGCAAACAGTTAAGACACATGGAGGCAGCAAACAGTTAAGACACATGGAGGCAGCAAACAGTTAAGACACATGGACACAGTAAACAGTTAAGACACATGGAGGCAGCAAACAGTTAAGACACATGGACACAGCAAACAGTTAAGACACATGGAGGCAGCAAACAGTTAAGACACATGGACACAGTAAACAGTTAAGACACATGGAGGCAGCAAACAGTTAAGACACATGGACACAACAAACAGTTAAGACACATGGAGGCAGCAAACAGTTAAGACACATGGAGGCAGCAAACAGTTAAGACACATGGAGGCAGCAAACAGTTAAGACACATGGAGGCAGCAAACAGTTAAGACACATGGAGGCAGCAAACAGTTAAGACACATGGAGGCAGCAAACAGTTAAGACACATGGAGGCAGCAAACAGTTAAGACACATGGAGGCAGCAAACAGTTAAGACACATGGACACAGCAGACAGTTAAGACACATGGAGGCAGCAAACAGTTAAGACACATGGAGGCAGCAAACAGTTAAGACACATGGAGGCAGCAAACAGTTAAGACACATGGAGGCAGCAAACAGTTAAGACACATGGAGGCAGCAAACAGTTAAGACACATGGACACAGCAAACAGTTAAGACACATGGACACAACAAACAGTTAAGACACATGGAGGCAGCAAACAGTTAAGACACATGGAGGCAGCAAACAGTTAAGACACATGGAGGCAGCAAACAGTTAAGACACATGGAGGCAGCAAACATTTAAGACACATGGACACAGCAAACAGTTAAGACACATGGACACAGCAAACAGTTAAGACACATGGAGGCAGCAAACATTAGAAAGACACATGGAGGCAGCAAACATTAGAAAGACACATGGAGGCAGCAAACAGTTAAGACACATGGACACAGCAAACACTTAAGAAACATGGACACAGCAAACAGTTAAGACACATGGAGGCAGCAAACATTAGAAAGACACATGGAGGCAGCAAACAGTTAAGACACATGGACACAGCAAACAGTTAAGACACATGGACACAGCAAACAGTTAAGACACATGGAGGCAGCAAACAATTATGACACAGAGAGGCAGCAAACATATGTTAAGACACAGAGAAGTGGGCAAACAAGAGTTAATAAACAGTGGGAAAATATTGTTATTTTCCAGCTGAGATAATTCCCTTCCAAGCCATATACTCCCCGCCACAGTACAGCGATAACTCACAAGCTTCATGACGGCTTCTGCAAGAGGAAACTGATGGGTGCAGGACCTGCCAGGGCATATATATATATAGATCCTCCCCCAGCTTACCCACCCACTCTCATTCCTCAGTTTCCCCCCTTCCCCCTTTAGGTAAACTTTTGCTCTACATTTCCTATCGACCTTTGATTTTTCAAGGTCTTGTGCAAGCCTCGCCAACACATATTATCTTCCCTTCCATTTTGAATAATATTTCTATTGCAACACTATGCCTCCCCGTGATCAGAAAATGTCACTAGTTGGAGCAACTCCTGTATCGCTGTTTTTGTGGCTTCAGGCAAATTAGCGCACTCATATTATGAAACTATCCCTACCACCTCTATTGCAGTCCATTGTATGTCTTTGTGTTAATTCTCAGTAGTTTTGGAGCTCAAATTAAACGTATTATATTGGAGATAAAATGCTTACTGCTCCAATATATAGGTTTATATTTTGTAATAAAATACACGCCCACTCACACACACACACACACACACACACACACACACACACACACACACACACACACACACACACACACACACACACACACACACACACACACACACACACACACACACACACGGAGGCCTCGTAGCCTGGTGGATAGCGCGCAGGACTCGTAATTCTGTGGCGCGTGTTCGATTTCCGCACGAGGCAGAAACAAATGGGCAAAGTTTCTTTCATTCTGAATGCCCCTGTTACCTAACAGTAAGTAGGTACCTGGGAGTTAGTCAGCTGTTACGGGCTGCTTCCCGGGGGGAAGGGGGTAGTTAGTAGAGTAGTTAGTAAACAGTTGATTGACAGTTGAGAGGCGGGCCGAAAGAGCAAAGCTCAACCCCCGCAAGCACAACTAGGTGAATACACACACACACACACACACACACACACACACACACACACACACACACACACACAAGACTCAGGAACCTGTACACCTGTTGATTGACGGTTGAGAGGCGGGACCAAAGAGCCAGAGCTCAACACCCGCAAGCACAATTAGGTGAGTACACACACACACACACACACGCACACACACACACACACACACACACACACACACACACACACACACACACACACACACACACACACACACACACACACACACACACACACACACACACACACACACACACACACACACACAACCGAACATGTCCCCAAATTCCCATATCAAAAGGATATCATCAGCGGCTTATGCTAGGTTGGCCAACATAAGAACTGCCTTTAGAAACTTGTGTAAGGAATCGTTCAGGACCCTGTATACCACTTATGTCAGATCAATCCTTGAATATGCAGCTCCAGCCTGTAGTTCATACCTAGTTAAACACAAGACAAAGTTAGAGAAGATTCAGCGGTATGCCAGACTCGTCCCGGAACTGAGATGTATGAGCTACGAGGAAAAGCTGAAGGAGCTGAACCTCACGTCCCTGGAAAACAGAAGAGTAAGGGAGACATGATCACCACCTACAAAATTCTTAGGGGAATTGACAGAGTGGGCAAAGATAAACTCTGCAGCACGGGAGGAACACGAAAAAGAGGGCACAGGGGAAACTTAGTTCCCAAGTGAACCACAGAGATATTAGAAAGAATTTTTTCAGTGTTAGAGTAGTTAACAAATGGAATGCACTAGGAAGTGACGTGGTGGAGGGTGACTCCATACACAGTTTCAAATGTTTGTATGAAAGAGCTCAGTAGGCTTAGGAATCTGTACACTAGTTGATTGAGGGTTGAGAGGCAGGACCAAAGAGACAAAGCTCAACCCCCACAGGCACAACTAGGTGAGTACACACACACACATACACACAAACACACAGGCACAGTGAAGTTAACGACATCATCAAGAGGAGCCTCACCACAACTGGAAGCCGAGCAGAGAGAAAGCCCGGTTACCTAACGCCCAATACCTCTGCTGCTCTTATACCATCGCTCAGATGGTATCTCAATGAACTCAGTGAAGAATGGAAAGCAGTTGGTACGGGACTACACGTGCGTATCAACCCTGGCTAACACCTACATTGACTTCAGTGCTGCACAACCGGGTGGCGCTGCCACTCACAGGGAATAAGCCAAATCCCGTAAGTACAAAGAACTGGATCACCACTACAATTTTGTCCCCATTGCTTATGAGACACTCGTCGCCTGGGGTAAGAGTGCACCAGTTTTTTTAAGGAACTGGGTTCTAGGCTAATTGAAACAACAAGAGACCCTTGACCTTTCAGCTTTCTTTTCCAGCGCCTCAGCGTGGCGATACAGAGGGGAAATGCACACTGCATCAAGATTCCTGCCCGCCATCTGAGGAGTTGGAGGAACTCGACAACTTATGATAATCATCTTTGTACCTTACATATAACTATTTTTTTTTGTAATGAAGTTTAAATTAAATAATACTTACATATATAATGGGATGGTAGGAGAAGACAATATGTGCCAGAGCACGTGGGAGCTTGATAAGGCTCCTCCGGGTGCTGCATATCATCTTCGAGGCTTGAGTGTCCCTACAAACAACCTGAGGTCGTATATATATATATATATATATATATATATATATATATATATATATATATATATATATATATATATATATATATATATATATATATATACATATATATATATATATATATATATATATATATATATATATATATATATATATATATATATATATATATATATATATATATATATATATATATATATATATATATATATATATATATATATATATAAGTCAAGAACGAACCCAACTGTACTACCGCAAGGTTCTAGAGAGGGGACGGAGGGAATTATCAGGGGATAATTTGAAGGGGTCAGAATTATTATTTGGGATGGGACGGAGGGAAATGAATGGTGCCTAACCAGTTGGACGGTCTGGGAATTGAACACCGTCCTGCATGAAACGTCGCAGCACTAGAGAGGATAATACAACAAATATTCGCGGCTCACCTAGACGAGAGAATATTGGGTTTTGAAGAAGTACCAGCTTTGCCTCATGGAAGGTGGAATCATTACTGTCAATTTTATTGAAGGTGTGTGACAAAATGACAGCAAACGTTTCCAGATGGACCTGACCTATTTTATGAGAAGAGCAGAGTGATGAATCCAGGAATATAACCTAAAAATTGCCTAAAGTAACGAGAATAGAGGCAGGTGACTTCAAACCGTATGTATAGTACTCACTAACAGAGGAGGTGGTAAGAGACCTCTCGAATAGTACACAATTAAGAAGCGATGACAGAAACAGCTTGGGAAAATGACAGAAGACCCCTGCGATACTACATCAAGTAGCGATAAGCGACAGGATTTTGCTTGGAAAGTACAAAATGAGAGGATCGAACCTCAAGAACTTGGAGAGATTAAATAGACCAATTAGTAGATATTGTATTGAACCTGACGTCACAATATGAACCTGGATATGTTGGCCTTCAGCGTTATACATCAATCACACGGGAAGTGTTTAATCTGCCACCTCCGCCATGGATCCCTAACTCGCAGAAACACGCGGCCAAACTGTAGAAAATGTAAAGGTTTGTTATGATTAAAGGTTTTGAGAACCTGTTCTCATAACTCTGGAGAAAGGAAGGAAGAGAGGAGACGCGAATGAGGCACATGATTGTTAGGGAGATTTACAGGTTGGAGAGAGAAGAGGTATTAAAAACTTGGCAAAAATATACAACTAGATGAGATGCAAGAAAGTAAGAAATAATTCTCCAGTGTTAAGAGTAGTGAACACGTATAATTAGCATTAGGTGGAGACAGTATAGGTTAACACCGCACCCAACTCATTTTTTTTTACAACAGATTTGATAAGATGCAAGAACATAGACTGAGTGCACAAACATGCGACATCAAAATCTTGAAGAGTGGATACAACAAACAATTATAGAGTTACTGAACATTGAGTCGACGACACACAATACTGGAATGGTGGATCTAAGAGTTATTAGGTGAGTACAAACACGCGCACGAGCCAAAAGATATTTCACATCCCGTAAAAAGTGCGACAGAACTGGAGGTACACCTGACGCGCCTGACGCACACAATGCTTCAGTAAGCAAAACACAACGTTCATCAGACATGAAAGTCAGTCAAGTGCTTGGAAGTCTCCTCACGACCAGTCACAGCCTCCCGCGATTCATTCGTACTCCATCTCCAATTCAAGAGTAGCAATCTGTAACATTCCTGCTAATAACCTTTAATATTCAAGTTCATGGCATACAGGTTTATATTTTACTGTTGCACAGAATACTTGCTCGACGATGACATGTCAGTTATATGAAACCTTGGCTTGTAACACCCAAAAGTATTAACTAAGATGAGCGCTGATCACCTGAGGTGGTCATAAGTGGTGTCTGAGGGTAATTCACTATCCGTCTTAAGTAACATCTATTTTCTGTCTTAAGGCTGCCTCGAGGACATATTGTCAAGGTGTTCCGTCACAATATTCCAGCTGAACCTATATCAACACAGCTAAGAAGCACATAAGGCCAACTTTCATAGAGAAAATTGTACTCCTAGATATAATATATATATATATATATATATATATATATATATATATATATATATATATATATATATATATATATATATATATATATATGTCGTACCTAGTAGCCAGAACGCACTTCTTAGCCTACTATGCAAGGCCCAATTTGCCTAATAAGCCAAGTTTTCATGAATTAATTGTTTTTCGACTACCTAACCTACCTAACCAAACCTAACCTAACTTTTTCGGCTACCTAACCTAACCTAACCTAAAAAGATAGGTTAGGTTAGGTTAGGTAGGGTTGGTTAGGTTCGGTCATATATCTACGTTAATTTTAACTCCAATAAAAAAAATTGACCTCATACATAATGAAATTGGTAGCTTTATCATTTCATAAGAAAAAAATTAGAGAAAATATATTCATTCAGGAAAACTTGGCTTATTAGGCAAATCGGGCCTTGCATAGTAGGCCGAGAAGTGCATTCTGGCTACTAGGTACGACATATATATATATA